AACAATTGCCATATATATATGTGTGTGTGTGTGTGTGTGTGTGTGTGTGTGTGTGTACACGTACACAATATATATATATTCAACAATCCTACAATGTTCCACACGTAATTGTCCTCTAGTTCAGGTGACTCTGAAGACACAGTTTAACACCCAGGTGGTTTTAATACCTCTCAGAGTGCTAACGACTCGCTACTGTAAAGAGTATAAATCCTTCCATTCACCATCAATTAGTTAGAATTGAAGCAGCTTTCAGATAAAAAGTGAAATGTCTTCAAGAAAAATCAAGAAAGTCCAGTTGTCTTTTTAAAAGTATCTTTGGGGTAGCCATGACCCCAATGACTGAAAACATCTTTAGATGTGGCAGCTGAGAAAGATTTTCAACATAAGATATCAATAAAACCAGGAAATAGAGCCTTTTGCACACTCAGGATCTCAGATCCATACACATAACCAAGTTTTCAAGGGTTTATGAAATGCCAATACAATTGGAGTCATCCTAATTCTTAAGGGAGAATGTTCCAGAGCAGCGGTCACCTTGTTTCTAATTTTAACCCTTTAGCTACATTCCTCATAGTCTATGGGGAAGATGGTCTGGAAGATTGTAAAATTTTAGTTTTAGGCTAGTTTATGCTGTTACGTGGCCAAAAGAACTAACTATAAGAAAACAAAGCAATGTGTTGCTCATAGTCCCCTATGAAGTTATTATCTTGGAAGTGACTTAATCCCCCAGGAGGCTGTACCTCTTCTGCTCCATTCTCAAGCAGCTAATAAAATTTTGGGCAGGTGTCCTACATTGGGATTTAGGACCAGTTCCTAAAAAGAAAGAGCGTACTCTGGTGCCAGAGTGTCTGTAATCTAAAGACAAATTAGAAAATGAAGCAGCAAGAAAGGAAATTTCTCTCTCTTTCTCTTAATGTACCTACTGTATATATAAGATTTTTTTCTGCCTCAGCTTGCGAAAGTACGATTCTTGTCTAGCAGATGTATGGAAGCCTCCTAATATAATTCAGTGAAGGAGTGATAATTTTTAATAGTTGTAAGAAGAGTCTGGTTTATCAGATACATTGCATTTCCCATAAAGAACAAACACAACGTTTTTATAAATTCACAAATTTTGTATTGTGAAATTCTAAAATCTCATTTAAATAGGGGACATACCTCCAAAAAGATGGATACTTAACTTCGATAGAGATCTTCATGATGGCCTTGTCCTTGCTGCACAAGTGGCAAGCTATTGTCCCTATTTGGTAAGAAAGATTTGATATTTTTTTTTGCTAAAAATGTTGTTTTATGTTTGTTTATAATACATTTTAACATATTAATGGAAAAAGCTAATGTGGTACTTTTATGAAATTTTAACCAAAGGGGGGAAAACCAATTTAATTATTTTATGACTGTATAAGCTAGCTAATATGGTTATTATTTTGGATTGTACATTTTATGTCTCCATTTCTGAGTATGTTATTTTTTAAACTATACTCAACTCATTGTCAAACCTTCTCTTTTATCTAAGCCTCTCACTCAATTATTGAATCTTTTTATTTATCTTTAGGGATATTTATTTTATTCAATTTGATACCATTTCACTCTAAAACAGAGTGTCAAACTCAATTTCATTGAGGGCTTCATCAGGGTTGTGGTTGATCCAGGGGGGCGTGGCCTAGTCTGGCTAGGTTAGCGGAGGGATCCATACTCATGTAATTAGATCTCAGGGAGGCGTACTATAGGGTAAGCATTTGGTCTGATGATGAATGGAAGATGGCCTACAATTGTCCTCTAGGCAGTTACCAGTTCCGGGTTATGCCCTTCAGACTGCAAGGAGCCCCAGTAGTATTCATGCAGCTAATTAACGAGATGCTGCATGAGCATCTGTATCAAGGGGTACTCATCTCTTTTGATGATATCCTTATATATACCAAGACCATGGAGGAACATATACCATATTTTTTGGAGTATAAGACACACCGGAGTATAAGACACACCAAGGTTTTGAAGAGGCAATTTTTTTAAAAAAGTAGGTAGGTAGGTAGAGGGATAGACAGGGAGAGAAAGAGAGAAAAATACAGTAGGTAGGTAGGGAGAGAGAGTAGGTAGGTAGGTAGATAAAGGGATAGAGAGAGAGAGAGAAATAGAGAGCAATAGAGAAATAGAGAAATACAGTAGGTAGGGAGAGAGAGAGGAGGAAGATAGATAGAGGGAGAGAGAGAAAGAGAGAAATACAATAGATAGGTAGGGAGAGTGAGAGAGTAGGTAGATGTTCTGTCCCCCCCCCCCTTCACGGCTCGTTAACAAACACAGGCAGGCAACTTAAAAGGAACTTTATCAGTTCACAGTTCAAACTGGCTTCGAGCCCAGAAATAACACAAATACCAGTCTCCGACAAGAATTCAAAACAAAAGCTCTTACAAACACTGCAGTTCTTCCACCATCTTCATGAATCAGGTTTACATGAAACACCAAAGCACTTATCCAAGTGTAACAGGCATAAATCACGATTAATCATCAAGCAATGTTNGCCAGCCCCGGTTACTGTAGATGGGGAACAGCACTATGTAGTGCAAGATATACGAGATACCAGGTTGCACAAAGGGCAGTTACAATGCCTTGTTTTATTGAAAGGTTACCCCCTGTTGGAGGCATCATGGGTTCATAGGGAAGACTTTAGGGTGCCCCACCTGGTAGCAAGATTCCACCACAGACTTCCTGCAAAACCGGGTGGGAAGGGGTCCTTTGGCTCCTAACTGACTGTAATTTTTACTTCCCCAGATGCTGTCTCCATGGTAGAGGAGCCGCATGTCAGCTCTGGCAAGCCTAGAGGCCCAGAGCTGCCATTCGGGAGGGGTGGGTGGGAAACTGGGCCAGCTGCCAAGACTAGTTTTTACCAGATGGAGATCTCCCTCCTCCACAAGCGGTCCAGCTGAGAACTCTACCTAACTCTTCATGACTGACTGCCAGGAGGTTTCCACTGAGAATATTCCAGAACTGATAACTGACTGAGAACAATCCATGATTGATTGGCAGGTGGTTTTCACTGTGGGTCACAAGGTGATGGGTGTGTGCGCATGTGGGGGTGGGATTTAGCCTAATTACCCAGTGACTATAAAAGATGGTGGGGAGCACTGGATGTCATCTCTGACAATGTATTCATTACCTTAGTTCTTTGTTGGTCAGTTCATGCCAGAGGAAGATAAACTACATTTTCAAACCGTCTCTGTGTTTGGCTGTTTTCATTAACCTTTCAGAACCTGACAATAATACAGAACAAAAAACAAACTGGAGAGAAGGAGGACCACATCGCGATATTACAACGTGCGGTCTTGATATCTGAGACCGCCGTTGACACTTTTGCCGCTGGGGGGGGGTGTTGATTGAGACTTAAACTGTCCCATAGAGATGGTGTTCAGGAAGACAAAGCCTTGCTGGTCTCAGGGATATTGCAAAATCCCTGATAGACCCAAGGGAAGTGCTTCAAGCCTGCGGTAAACAGGTAGCCCCTAGGCTGATGAAATCAGGATGCTCCAGAACGAAGGAAGTGAAAAGAGAAAGTGAGTCCAACTGGTGAGGTATTTTTTCTATTTTGCTAAAGACTGCCNGCACCCAGATTTTCAGCCTCTTTTTTGAGGAAAAAAGGTGCGTCTTATACTCAGAAAAATACAATAACTCTTGTATGTCAAGTGCTTAAAAAACTGCTGGAAGCACATTTATACATCAAATTGTTTAAATGTAAGTTCCACAAGATGCAACTGGATTACCTTGGGTTCCGTATTTCACCTAAAGGGGTGAAGATGGACTTCGCAAAGGTATAGGTGGTGTTGGATTGGCAGGCTCCTAAAACCCGCAAGCAGTTGCAGAGTTGTTTAGAATTTGCCAATTTCTATTGCCAGTTCATTTCGTCCTTTGCCCAAGTGGCCCTTCCACTAACCAACCTCTTATGTACAAAAAATTTCATGAAAAACCCGGTTGTGTGGGCAACAGCGTGTCAGCAAGTGTTTGAGTGTCTGAAGTCCTTGTTTGCACAAGAGCCAGTACTGAAACATCCAGATCCCACTAAACCATTTGTGGTTCAGGCAGATGCCAGCGATGTGGTGGTGGCCACAGTCCTCCTACAAAAGAACAATGAAGAAGCCCTACAGCCTTCTGTCTATACCTTGAGGAGGTTGACAGGGACCAAACGCAACTGGCTCATTTGGGAGAAGGAGGCATTCTCCTGGTGAGCTCTGCTGACGTGGCGGCATTTACTAGAAGGGGGAGTGATACCCTTCGAGGTCTGGATGGATCACAAGAATTTGGAGGCTCTCCAGACCCCGCGAAGATTGTCACCAAAAGAAGTTAAATGGGCCTTATATTTCTGGGGATTCAACTTCCAATTAAAATATATACTGGGTGGCAAGAACTTCTTAGCTAATGCTCAATATCACAATAAAAGGGAGGATCTAGTGCAGGCTATCATTCCGACATCACAGCCTAGGGTGTTAGCCACTCAACAGGCCCCACTGGCACCAAACCTGTATACCCAGGTGGAGGACCTCCCCAAAACAATCCAAGCAGCACTCCCAATGGACCAGTGGTTTCAGGAAAATCAAACTATTAACACAGCAAGAGGGCTTTCCCTGGAAGGGGTTGAAGTTATACATACCAAGTGTGGTGTGGGTGGCCGTGCTGTGGCGCTGTCATGACGTTCACTCAGCTGGACATTTTGGGTTCCTCAAGACTCTGCATTTAGCAACTTGCCAGTTCTGGTGGCTCCACATGAAGAGGGACATAGAGGAATATGTACGGAGTTGTGTTGTTTGCACTACCCTGAAGGCTCAGCCTTGCCAGCCTCCTGGTCTTTTACAGGAGGTGGCAGATCCTATTCCATGGGAACAGATAACCATGGACTTCATCGTGGATTTACTGGATAGCCAAGGGAACAAGGTCATTTGGATGATAATAGACTTGTTCTCCAAGCAGGCTCATTTGTAGCATGTACCGGCCTTCCATCTGCTAGGAAGCTGGCCAAACTGTTTATTGCCCATGTCCATAGACTCCATGGCATCCCCAAATGGATAATTTCTGATAGGGGAGTGCAATTCACTGCCTGGTTCTGGCGCAGATTTGTGGCAATTGTGGGGTCTTCACAGGGACTTAGTACAGCCTTCCACCCCACGACCAATTGTGAAACAGAGAGGGCAAACACGATGGTAGAGCGCTACTTAAGGTGTTACATACAGTACGGACAGATCGATTGGGCTGAACTCCTCCCCTTTGCAGAAGTTGCATATAACAATGCAATGCACAAAAATACAGGGTTTACTTCCTTCCATGTGGCTACAGGGGGGAGAGTTTGTCCCAATTCTGGAGTGTCCCCAAGTGTGTCCAGAAGTGATGACCTCGCAGGAGTGGATAGCCTGGATGCAAAAAGTTTGGAAAGTGGTGAGANCCTTCCTTCCTTCCTTCCTTCCTTCCTTCCTTCCTTCCTTCCTTCCTTCCTTCCATACATACATACATACATACATACATACATACATACATACATACATACATACAAGAAACTGACTCTGTAAACTGCTTAGAAAGGGCTGTAAAGGCACTGAAAAGCTGTATAGAAGTCTATTGCTATTGCTATGTGGTCACTCAGGTTGCAATGCTCCAGGAAGGAGAATGAATTCGACATTTGATTCTCTGTGGAGAAACACACACAAAAAAACATATTCCAAAGTAAGTTTGCTTTCAACCGTTGGACAGCGAACTTGGGTGGGTGGGTAGGAGTGGGGGAAGAGAGGAGAATTTTTCTGCCTTAAGGTTGCATTTAATGGAAGTTTTGGCTTTTATCTTTATTAATAGGGTCCCTAGGTATGCGTGGGAAAGAGAGAGAGATACCATCTAACGCCCCGGATAAAATCGCAATTTGTCCTCCTTGCCGGGGTAGATATAAAAGAGCTTTAACTGCACGCAAACAAATATTTCAAAGGAGGACTGTGGCATGGGTAGAGGGAGGTGATAAATGGCCCGGGAGAAATGCCGGGGCTACGCAGCCTTATGGCTCTTGCCAAGGTCAATGAAATGACAGGAAGTCTGCATGTGGAATGCGAATTTTATTCTCTCTCCCCCCCCATGGTGTCTCAAGGTCAGATCTCTCTGGAACGCATCCCCTGGACTTCCAAAGAGGGAACAAATCCTCATTGGTTTGCATTGGGCATGACTTCAATTTTTAAGAGCGTTCCCCACCCCAACCCCATTCCTCTTCCCAGTTCCCCCCCCAAGA